GACTCCCAAGATTTGAATAACTCCTGGCTTCAAGGCTTTCAGCTGCAGGAGACCTAAGGGGAGAAAGCGAGAAGGTGCTTAGAGGATCCCTCCCACCTGTCTCTGTCCCACCACCCGGCTCTGTCCCAGCCCTGGGAGTCCCAGCCCGCAGCCCCCCCTCCTCCCTCAGATCCAGGAGTCCAGGTCCCCAGCCCCTGCTCCCTCAGACCCAGACCCCAGCCCCTGCTCCCTCAGACCCAGACCCCAGCCCCTCCTCCCTCAGACCCAGACCCCAGCCCCTCCTCCCTCAGACCCAGACCCCAGCCCCCTCCCTCAGCCCAGACCACCCCTGCTCCCTCAGACCCAGACCCCCCCCTCTCCCCAGACCCGACCCCAGCCCCTCCTCCCTCAGACCCAGACCCCAGCCCCTCCTCCCTCAGACCCAGACCCCAGCCCCTCCTCCCTCAGACCCAGACCCCAGCCCCTCCTCCCTCAGACCCAGACCCCAGCCCCTCCTCCTTCAGATCCAGGGGTCCAGATCCCCAGCCCCCGCTCCCTCAGACCAAGGAGTCCAGGACCCCAGCCCCCGCTCCCTCAGACCGAGGAGTCCAGGACCCCAGCCCCTCCTCCCTCAGACCCACAAGTCCAGACCCCCAGCCCCTTCTCCCTCAGACCCACGAGTCCAGACCCCCGGCCCCTCCTCCCTCAGACCCAGGAATCCAGACCCCAGCCCCTCCTCCCTCAGACCCAGGCTCTGGCCCACACTCACTTTCGGGGCTCTGGTGAGCAGCGCCCCCCACTGTCCCATCCTCCCTGATCTCCAGGTGGGCTTCTGTCTGCTGGGCATCATCTGTGTAGAGGTACCGTTGCCGGACTTGGCCCCCGAATTGCAGGAGAGGACTGGAGTCAGGGATGGGGTGTGCCTGGCAGGCTCCCAGCAGAAGACCAGCCAGCACAGGAACCCACAGTCCTGAGTGCTCGAACCCGGTCTCGTCCGAGTCCATCAATGGCTCAGGTCCTCAGGTGATCTCCGGGGTGTGAGCTTGGAGAAGCTAGTGGTTTAGAATCGGTGCCAGATTCTGGCTGTCCAGGTGAGCAGATTCACAGATCGCTGCTCAGGTGGCCTGAGTGCCTGCGTCCTCCTTCGGCTGGATCTTCAGCAGACAGAGCACTCTGTGTTTTGGGATAGATGCAGAAGCTCCAGAATTTATACCCAGACAGTCCCGCCCAATCACCCTCCCTGCGCCTGACCCATGGCATTTGACCCACTTGGCAGGAGCCACAGAATTCCATCGTGGCAAGGGCAGCCTGAATGGATGATGTAACCTGGGGGTCCTTTCAATGGGGGGCCGGACTCCTGGGTCTAGGGGACCAGGGAGAGGAGGATCGGGTTAGCTGGGACCCAGGTGAAGGGGGCTGGGGGCCCAGATTCCTGAGTCTCAGAGAGAAGGATCTGGGGTCTCAAGTCCCTGAGTTGGAGGGAGGAGGGGTGCTGGGCTCCTGGAAAAACCACCTCTTGGAACATTTATGTAGATCACATTTACGCAGAACAAGAGAAATTTCTGCGCCCCATCTGAATTTCTAAGTTTGGGGGGAGGGCGTGATCTGACACTGAGGTTCCTTGATCCTCAGCAAGGCGGCAATTGCTGTGTGAAAGAAGCGACCACAGCGAAGACACAGGTGTCCTGCCGTGGAAGCCTCTCATCTGGCCGTGGGCCAGCCTCAACCTCATCTGTCCCTGCTCAGATGCTCAGACTCTGGCCATCCCAGCCTCCTCCTCCCTGATGCAATCCTGGTGTTTCTTTCACCAGAGAAGCCATCCCAGGCCCAGGCAGGTGCTCATAAAATAACCTGGGGGGAGGGGTGGCTGAGAGTCCCTGACTGGAGTTGGCAGCCAAGCCACGCTCTGGAGTGGGCACCCACAGGGAAGACAGGTTGGCTAATTTCCTGGAGCCCCTAAGGGTACAAGATTAGGACTTCTACATCTGAGGGAGGAGGGCTGGGGGTCTGGACTCCTGGATCTGAGGGAGGAGGGGCTGGGGGTCTGGACTCCTGGGTCTGAGGGAGGAGGGGCTGGGGGCCTGGACTCCTGGGTCTGAGGGAGGAGGGCTGGGGGTCTGGACTCCTGGGTCTGAGGAAGCTGAGGTAGGAGAGGGCTGGGGGTCTGGACTCCTGGGTCTGAGGGGAGGAGGGGGCTGGGGGTCTGGACTCCTGGGTCTGAGGGAGGAGGGCTGGGGGTCTGGACTCCTGGGTCTGAGGGAGGAGGGCGGGGGGGACTCTGGTCTGAGGGAGGAGGGCTTGGGGTCTGGACTCTGGGTCTGAGGGAGGAGGGGCTGGGGCCTGGACTCCTGGGTCTGAGGGAGGAGGGGCTGGGGGTCTGGACTCCCTGGGTCTGAGGGAGGAGGGGCTGGGGCCTGGACTCCTGGGTCTGAGGGAGGAGGGGCTGGGGGGCCTGGACTCCTGGGTCTGAGGGAGGAGAGGCTGGGGCCTGGGACTCCTAGGTCTGAGGGAGGAGGGGCTGGGGGCCTGGACTCCTGGGTCTGAGGGAGGAGGGGCTGGGGCTGGACTCCTCTGGGAATCCTGGATCTGAGGGAGGAGGGCTGGGAGCCTGGACTCCTGGGTCTGAGGGAGGAGGGGCTGGGGGCCTGGACTCCTGGTCTGAGGGAGGAGGCTGGGGCCTGGGGAGCCTGGACTCCTGGGTCTGAGGGAGGAGAGGCTGGGGGCCTGGACTCCTGGGTCTGAGGGAGGAGAGGCTGGTGGCCTGGACTCCTGGGTCTGAGGGAGGAAGGGCTGAGGGTCTGGACTCCTGGGTCTGAGGAAAGGGACTAGAGTCGGGACTCCTGGATCTAAGGGAGGAGGGGCTGGGGATCTGGACTCCTGGGTTTGAGGGAGGAGGGGCTGGAGCCTGGACTCCTGGGTCTGAGGGAGGAGGGCTGGGGTTTTAGACTTCTGGGTCTGAGGGAGGAGGGCTGGGGGTCTGGACTCATGGATCTGAGGGAGGAGGGCCTGAAAGACCGGAGGACCTCCCTGGGTCTGAGGGAGGAGGGGCCTGGGGGTCTGGACTCCTGGGGTCTGAGGGAGGAGGGCGGGCCTGGACTCCTGGGTCTGAGGGAGGAGGGGGCTGGGGGTCTGGACTTCTGGGGTCTGAGGGAGGAAGGGGCTGGGTCTGGACCTGGTTGAGGGGGACGGACGGACTCCTGGGTCTGAGGGAGGAGGGGCTGGGGGCCTGGACTCCGGGGTTGGGGGGGGGGGGGGGGCCTGGACTCCTGGGTCTGAGGGAGGAGGGGCTGGGGGCCTGGACTCCTGGGTCTGAGGGAGGAGGGGCTGGGGGCCTGGACTCCTGGGTCTGAGGAAAGAGGGGCTGGGGGCCTGGACTCCTGGGTCTGAGGAAAGAGGGACTGGGGGCCTGGACTCCTGGATCTGAGGGAGGATGGGCTGGGGAACCTGGGCTCCTGGGTCTGAGGGAGGAGCGGCTGGGGGTCTGGACTGCTGGGTGTGACTGGAAGGGTCTGGGTGCTGGGAGTCCTGAGCCTGGATCCTAGATAATGGTTAAACTTCTGGGAATCAAGTCAAACTGCTGAGTCCTTGACATCGATGTATCTTCAATGTGAGAGTCAGTCTGTGGGTGGAGGATTACCCAGGTGCCAAGGCAAGAGACTGAAGGCACAAACTGTTTCCATATAATAAAGAAAATAGTGAGAATAAGAATAGTCATTATACAAATTAGATATAGAGGTGATCATGACATTATCAATCATTAGTGTAAACATTATTAATCATTAGCTTTTACCATTACTCTTTGTTGTATTATTAATATAACCAAGAAATAACCGGCGGGCATAGGGTCAGGTGCTGAAGGGACATTGTGAGAAGTGACCTAGAAGGCAAGAGGTGAGCCTTCTGTCACGCCCGCATAAGGGCTGCTTGAGGGCTCCTTGATCAAGCGGTAAGGCCAGTGTCTGGGAAGAACCCCCGTTACTTAGCAGGCTGTGAAAGGGAATCTCCTTTCCTTGGAGGAGTCAGGGAACACTCTGCTCCACCAGCTCCTTGTGGAAGGCTGGATATTATCCGGGCCTGGCCGCAGTCATCCAGAGGTTTAAACGTCTCCCTGTGGTGCTGTGCTTCAGTGGTCATGCTCCTTGTCCGCTTTCATGTTCCTCCGGTACTCCTGGTTCCTCTTTGAAGTTTGTAGTAGATAGCAGTAGAAGAAATCATGAAAGTCTTAAAGTCTTTGATCTTTCTTATAAGTGCATAGAAGAAAACGCTGATGCTGCCTTCCCTCTCTGCCTCAGCTACCTAAAAGGGAAGAGCCCGTGTCCCGTGATCACGTGACTTGACCTTATCAATCACCTGGACGACTCACTGTCCTTACTCTGCCCCCTTGTCTTGTATGCAACAAATACCAGCGCGCCCAGCCATTCAGGGCCACTACAGCTCTCCGTGTCTTGGTGGTAGCGGTCCCCCGGGCCCAACTGTTTTCTATCTCTTTGTCTTGTGTCTTTATTTCTTACAATCTCTGGTCTCCGCACAGGGGAAGAACACCCTCAAAGCCCCGTAAGGCTGGACCCTACATCAGCCGCCCTGCTTGGGGTTGGCGATGCTGGAGGTGGGCCTTGGACCAGAGAAAATGCTTTCATTAGGTGACAAGCGGGCAGAGGCCTTTGTTTCTGGCGCCCGCAGCCACGGCCCCCGCTGACGGCATGGGAAACAGATCCTGTTCCACTCCGGTCTCCAGCATTGGAATGGTTGCCTCGGTACAATGCAGGTCTGGAAAGTAGCAGTTTAGCACGGGACCCTAGAATTCCCCAAAAGGAGTGACTAGAAGCTGGGATTCTGGAATTTGAGTGTGGACGGCGGGTTGGGTGGGTGGGAGATCGGAGACCCTGGTGGGCGCGGGGGGCACCTGCAGGCTGGAGGCCCTCGCGCGCTCCCGCGGCAGCCTGGCAAACAGGTTCTCCATTCCCCAGGAGGATGCGGCCGGGGGCGGACGATCGCTCCACTCGCCCGGACCAGGTGCGGGGGCCCTGCCCAGCCGCTGGGGCGTGGCCAGGCTCGACGCACCCAGGTGCCGGGGGCCGACTCTAAGCCCTGGCACCAGAAGGGAGAGGGCGGCGGATTGGACCTCCCGGCTCGAGCATTGCAACTGGGAGCTCCGTCTCCGGGTCCACGCAATGATGCCGCGGCTGCTCGCAAGCCAGGTAGGCTGCCGCGGGTGAAGCCTTCACGGAGGTCAATGCCGGGGCGGAGGGGCAGGGCGCGGTCCCCCACATCCCCGATCTGGGGAGCGGTGGGTCAAGGGGCCATCGCCCTAGCCCGGGGCGCTGGGGCTCGGCGCCAAGTGAGGGGCGGGCCTCCACCTTCCAGCCATCTGCCCAGCCCGGGAAGGCGGACGCTGAGAAACTCCCGGCCGCGCCCCCTCCTTCCTCCCCTCCCCAAGCCCTCGCTGCCAGTCCGGACAGGCTGCGCGGAGGGGAGGGCTGCGAGGCCGAAGAGCCGGACGCCTGGCGTTCCAGGGGCGGCCGGATGTGGCCTGCCTTTGTAGAGGGCGCGCTCCGGCCACGCAAAGCGGACTGTGGATCTGCCACCTGCAAGCAGCTCGGGTAAGTGGGGACTGCCGGTGCCTGGGACCCAGCAACAACTCCTTCAGAGCCAGGAGGTGCACCCCCAACCTCTTCTCCAGGTCTTCCTAAGGCCCTAAGACTCTCCGCCGCCTCCCCAGCCATTACTTCTCCAGGAACCAAGATGCTGCTTCCGCTCCTGACCCTCCAGCCTCTCTTGTTTTACTTTGACTATCGCTTCCCATCACCACCTCTGTGGTGGATTTTGTTCCTCACAGACAGCCACTCCTGAGAAACAGGCTGATGGAAGAGTCCAGTATCAGCGGACCTTACAGGAGGGGAGACTCGAGATTCCTGCAGGAAAGGTGCAGGAACCTGGACCATGGCTGTCTGTTTTGCTTTTTTTTTTTTTTTTTGAGAGGGTCCCTCTCTGTCGCCCAAGCTGGAGTGCAGTCAGTGGTGCTATCGCGGCTCATTGTGAGCTCCGGGGGTCCTCCCGCCTTAGCATCCGGTGTAGCTGAAACCACAGACACGTGCCGCCATGCCAAGCTATTTTTTTTTTGGGGGGGGGGGAACGGAATTTCACTCTTGATGCCCAGGCTCGAGTGTAATGGCACGATCTCGGCTCACCACAACCCCCGCCTCCCGGGTTCAAGCGATTCTCATGCCTCAGCCTCCCTAGTAGCTGGGATTACAGACATGCGCCACCACGCCTGGCTACTTTTGTATTTTAAGTAGAGACAGGGTTTCTCCATGTTGGTCAGTCTGGTCTCCCACTCCAGACCTCAGGTGATCCGCCCGCCTTGGTGTCCCAAAGTGCCGCAATTACAGGTGTGAGCCACCCCTCCCGGCCCATGCCAAGCTAATTTTAATTTTTTTTTTGTAAAAGCGGAGTCTTGCTCTGTTGCCCAGGCTGATCTTGAACTCCTAGGCTCAAGGAATCCTCCCATCTCAGCCTCTCAATATGCTGGAATTACAGGTGTGAGCCACGGCGCCCAGCCAAATCATGGCTATCTTGAAAACCACTTGTTTTCCAATCCCCATGCCCCGAAATTCCAAGGCTCTCATCCCTCAAACCTAGGACTCCGGCGCTCTCTACCTCAGCCCCAGGAGTCTAAACCTGTGACTTTCTCTTTCCTTGGGACTAAGGAGTGCTGCACCCCAGGCACCTCCCTTCCCCCACATCCCTCCTCAGCCTCCCCTCCCTAGTCTCTGTGTATTTGCTAATTCACCTTTCCTCCCCTGCAGCCATGTGGCCCCCGAGCCGTCGTCAGCTCTGCCTGGCCTTCCTGCTAGTCTGTGTCCTCTCTGCGCTCTCCTTCTTCCTCCATATCCACCAAGACAGCTTTCCACATGGCCTACGCCTGTCGATCCTGTGTCCAGATCGCCACCTGGTGACATCCCCGGTGGCCATCTTCTGCCTGCCAGGTACCCCGGTGGGCCCCAACACCTCCTCTTCCTGTCCCCAGAACTCTGCCTCCCTCTCCGGCACCTGGACTATCTATCCCGATGGTCGGTTTGGTAATCAGATGGGACAGTATGCCACGCTGCTGGCTCTGGCCCAGCTCAATGGCCGCCGGGCCTTCATCCTGCCTGCCATGCATGCCGCCCTGGCGCCGGTATTCCGCATCACCCTGCCCGTGCTGGCCCCAGAAGTGGACAGCCGCACACCGTGGCGGGAGCTGCAGCTTCACGACTGGATGTCGGAGGAGTATGCGGACTTGAGGGATCCTTTCCTGAAGCTCTCTGGCTTCCCCTGCTCTTGGACTTTCTTCCACCATCTACGGGAACAGATCCGCAGGGAGTTCACCCTGCACGACCACCTTCGGGAAGAGGCGCAGAGCGTGCTGGGTCAGCTCCGCCTGGGCCTCACGGGGGACCGCCCGCGCACCTTTGTGGGCGTCCACGTGCGCCGTGGGGACTATCTGCAGGTTATGCCTCAGCGCTGGAAGGGTGTGGTGGGCGACAGCGCCTACCTCCGGCAGGCCATGGACTGGTTCCGGGCACGGCACGAAGCCCCGGTTTTTGTGGTTACCAGCAACGGCATGGAGTGGTGTAAAGAAAACATCGACACCTCCCAGGGCGACGTGACGTTTGCTGGCGATGGACAGGAGGCTACACCGTGGAAAGACTTTGCCCTGCTCACACAGTGCAACCACACCATTATGACCATTGGCACCTTCGGCTTCTGGGCTGCCTACCTGGCTGGCGGAGACACTGTCTACCTGGCCAACTTCACCCTGCCAGACTCTGAGTTCCTGAAGATCTTTAAGCCAGAGGCTGCCTTCCTGCCCGAGTGGGTGGGCATTAATGCAGACTTGTCTCCACTCTGGACATTGGCTGAGCCTTGAGAGCCGGGGAGATTTTCTGAAATAGCCTGATCTTTCTAGAGCCAGCAGTACATGGCTCTAGGCCTGGCATCTTCTGGAGAAGTCTGTGGTGTTCCTGAAGCAAATGGGTGCCCGTTTCCAGAGCGATTCTAGTTGGGAGAGTTGGAGAGAAGGGGGACCTTTCTGGAACTGTCCGAACATTCTAGAACTAGCAAAACATCTTTTCCTGATGGCTGGCAGGCAGTTCTAGAAGCCACAGTGCCCAACTGCTCTTCCCAGCCCACATCTACAGTACTTCCAGATGGCTGCCCCCAGGAATAGGAAACTCTCCCTCTGGTCTATTCTAGAAGAGGGGTTACTTCTCCCTTGGGTCCTCCAAAGACTGAAGGAAAATATGATTGTCCAGAGCAAACATTCACCAAGTCGCCTTCTGTGTTTCTGGAGTGATTCTAGAGGGAGACTTCTTCTAGAGAGGGCCAGATTTGATGCCTGTAAAGAACCCTGCAGGGCCCTTAGAGACAGGATGGGGTTCTGGAAATCTAGATAACTAAGGTGAATAATCTTTTTAGTTTTTGTTTTCTCGCCCTGTTGCCCAGGCTGGAGTGGCCTCGCCCTGTTGGGTCTCGCCCTGTTGCCCAGGCTGGAGTGCAGTGGCGTGATCTTGGCTCACTGCAACCTCCGCCTCCTGGGTTCAAGCGAATCTCCTGCCTCAGCCTCCTGAGTAGCTGGGACTACAAGCACACGCCATCATGCCCAGCTAATTTTTGTATTTTTATGTTGGCCAGGATGGTCTTGATCTCTTGACCTTGTGATCCACCTGCCTCGGCCTCCCAAAGTGCTGGCATTACTGGCATGAGCCACAGTGCCCGGCCCGGATAATTTTATTTTTTATTTATTTATTTATATATATTTTTTGAGACGGAGTCTCTCTGTAGCCCAGGCCAGAGTGCAGTGGCGCGATCTCAGCTCACTGCAAGCTCCGCCTCCCGAGTTCATGCCATTCTGCCTCCGCCTCTGGAGTAGCTGGGACTACAGGCGACTGCACCACCCAGCTAATTTTTGTTTGTATTTTTAGTAGAGATGGGGTTTCACTGTGCTAGCCAGGATGGTCTTAATCTCCTGACCTCGTGATCTGCCCGCCTCGGCCTCCCACAGTGCTGGCATTACAGGCGTGAGCCACCATGCCCAGCCCGGATAATTTTTTAAAATTTTTGTAGAGACAAGGTCTTGTGATATTGCCCAGGCTGTTCTTGAACTCCTGGGCTCAAGCAATCCTCCCACCTTGGCCTCCCAGAATGCTGGGATTACAGACGTGAACCAGCACACCTGGCCAAGTGAAGAATCTAATGAATGTACAACCTAATTGTAGCATCTAACGAGTGCCCCACCATTGCTGGAAAAATCGAGATGGAAAACAAACCATCTCTAGTTGGCCAGCGTCTTGCTCTGTTCACAGTCTCTGGAGAAGCTGGGGTAGTTGGTGAGCAGAGCAGGACTCCGTCCAGCCAGCCCTCCAGCCCCTCAAAGACTTTTTTTTGTTTGTTTTGAGCAGACAGGCTAAAACGTGAAAGTGGGGTGAGGGATCACTGCTAAAATGGTGCAGCTTCTGGAGCAGAACTTTCCAGGGATCCAGGGACACTTTTTTTTAAGCTCATAAACTGCCAGAGTTGCATATGTTGGGTCTGAGTTCAGGTTTCCTCTCACAATGAAGGAAGATGGTCTTTCTCTGCAGGTGGGCCGTTGGGGGTCTGGGATCTGTTTTCTGGAAGCGTGGAGGCATAAACACACCCTCTGTTTTTGTGACAAGCTGGCAAGCACTGTGCTCATTGCTAACCATTGTCTGCCCCTGAACACCCAGAACCATTACATCTGGCTTTGGGCAGGTCTGAGATAAAAGGATCTAAAGGCCTGCAGACACTGGACCCAGCCTCAAATCCAGGCAGGAGCACGAGGTCTGGCCAAGGTGGACAGGATTGTCGAGATCTCAGGAGTCCCTTGCTTTTTTTTGGAGGGTGAAAGAAGAAATCTTAAACTTAGTCAACTCTGATCACATCCCCTATCTACTCATCCAGGATCCCATGCCTCCAAGCTTATCAGGGAGTTACACTTACAGTACAATTGTTACAGTTACAGCACTGTTCCCAACTCAGCTGCCGCAGGTAAGAGAGCAGGAGGTATGAATTAAAAGTCTACAGCACCAACCTCTGTCTCTGCAGCTTTTTTGGAGTCAGAGCTGCCGTGTGTGTGTGTGTGTGTGTGTGTGTATGTGTGTGTGTGTGTGTTTGTGTGTGTGTAAGGGAGTGGAGGAAAAGGTGGGTACTTCTGAAGACTTTTTTTTTTTTTTTGAAGACCGAGTCACCCAAGCTGGAGTGCAGTGGTGTGATCTCAGCTCACTGCAACCTCCACCTCTCGGGTTCAAGTGATTCTCCTGCCTCAGCCTCCCGAGTAGCTGGGACTACAGATGTGTGCCACCATGTCCAGCTAATTTTTTTATTTTTAGTAAAGAGGGGTTTCACCATGTTAGCCAGGCTGGTCTCGAACTCCTGACCGCAGGCAATCCGCCCACCTGGCCTCTCAAAGTGCTGGAATTACAGGCGTGAGCCACCGCGCCCGGCCCTGAGGATTTTTATTACTCGTGATTGGGAGTACTGTCCCTACTTAGATCTGACAGCTCCTTGTTGCTGGACTTGTGAGAGTTGTGGTCCCTGTTTTTCTGGTTTCCTGTTTCAGTCACACAGGAGAGACAGACCTTCCAGGACCCAAACGTCTGAGCCCCCAGTTGCTCTCTTCTGGACCCTCAGTATTGGCCCCCAGTCCTCTCCTCCCGCTGGGACCTCCGCGTGGAGAGAAGAGGCGGAGGAGGGAGCGAACGGATTATCATTGAACTACATTTCCCGGAAAGCTATGGGGTTGGCAGCGCTAATCAGCTACAGAGAAAGAGGCCCCAGGACATTTTGGGAATTGTAGTCTTATGGCTAAAATGTCCACTTCGTAGCTCGACAGCCGTTTCCAAGGACCGCGGTAGGGGCGGCAGCGGCTTGGGGGGCCGGATCTAGCCCAAAGCCTGGGTCCTGGGGCAAGGAGAGGGGAGAAAGCTGAACGCTAGAGTCCGGTCCTTGACTCTGGAAGCCAGAGCAGTCAGGAGCCTTCCTCTTCGGTAGATGCAGGGAAAGTTCTAGTCCAAAAAGGCTGCAGCCTCTGTGACGTCATGGAGCGATAGGCGGGGCCTCCCTTTGTTGCAGTCCAATCAGACAGAGTTGGGCTTCTGGGTGGGGCCAAGGAACGCCCAAGGAATATCTATAAGGGAATTCGGGCCCCTACGTGAGAAGCTCGCAGCGGGTGGTTGCAGGAGTTCCCTGAGGAGAGGGGATCCTCCGTGACTCAGACCCCCATCGAAAAGCTCTCGATTTCACGCAACCAACCTTACCCTCGTCCCCAACAAAATCCTTGATTTTAGCCCTGGGAAAATTAGCGTAGGTGGTCATGACCCCGGGTTCTTCTTTAAAAGCCCTCAGAACCTGGACCGGGCTCCTCAACGAACCCCAGTGTTAGAAGCCACAAGTCAGGAATCGAGGTCGGGGAGCGGCTCTTTAGGGTGCATCACTGTTCAGGATGCACCAGGGCTCCTTTTTCTAAGCAGAAGGGTGCGCCCCGCAAATTGGGAGCCCGTTAGTTTTGGGGAAGGGTGAACAAGGGCCCCCTGGGTCTGGAGGACCTTATGGAGTCTTGCTTAAGTCTTAGTACGGACCCCAGGTTTAGGAATTCGGAATGTGTTTTGGTTTTGAAGGACTTCCGAGTTTGACAATATCGTGGTTGGGTCTGTGTTAGATGATTTATTGGTTTGGGCTTTGAATCTTCAGCTTGAGGTTCAACAGGTTTTTGGGGGCTGGCGGGTGAGTGCCTCACGGTTGCGCTTAAGGGTTGGAGTTCAGGATCACGTCAATCTGGGGACTTGGAAAATTCCATAGTTTGGGATTTTGGGAAGGGGCGCATGGGGTTGGGAGATTCCAGGTCCTGAGTTTGGGGACTTACGAATGCTTCCTGTTTAACGGTTTTTCTGATCTCTCAATTGGGATGCAGTGAGAACCCTAAATTTGGGGTCCCCTGGGTTGGGGCTCAGTTTCACACTTCGGAGGCATTTGATGAACGACATAGGTCCTCTTTATTTGGAGATTTCCTGAAGATCCTCTTTTCGCGGTTTGGGGACCCCATGGGTAGGGAGCCCAGTGGGATTTCTTAAGATGGATTTTGGCTTTTCTCCGTTTAGCGTTCTCCTGCTCTCGGTTTGGGGTGAGAGCAGCCTTCCTAACGGTCTTCGGGAACTGTGCGCGCCGGCTGCAATGGGGCCACATTTTACCCTCCTGTGTGCGGCGCTGGCCGGTTGCTTGCTTCCTGCCGAGGAGTGTGTTATGTGTGACCCGTCTGTCGTGCTGGCGCTAAAGTCCCTGGAGAAAGATTATCTGCCTGGCCATCTGGACGCGAAGCATCACAAAGCCATGATGGAAAGGGTAGAGAAAGCCGTGAAGGATTTCCAGGAACTGTCGCTTAATGAGGATACCTATATGGGGGTCGTTGGTGAGGGCAGGGGGGACCACGGACCCCTGGGTCCTGGGAAAGGGAAGGAGGGAGATAAGACCAGGGGGAGGAAGAGGCTGACAGCAAGGTCTCCGGGATTAGGGAATGGAGAAGGCTGAGATGCAGATTCTGAAGTTCCCTGGGGCTAGTACATACTGTTTTCCCTATCCTTATCCGGCTATTTTACGTAATAAAACTACAATTCCCAGAAGGCAACGGGCGACTGAGTCCTTAACCAGGCCTATCCTTGCCCAGTGGCCTCATGGGTATTGTAGTTTCTAAGATTAGGCGCGCCAATGAGACAGTAAGGCTGGAATCTGGGGTTGTATCTCTCCTGACAGACGAGGCCACACTGCAAAAGGGGTCCTGGAGTTTGCTGAAGGATCTGAAACGCATCACAGACAGTGATGTAAAAGGTAAATGCACCAAGGGAGTAGGGGTCCAGAATCTCTCAGGGAAGCCAGCATTAGTGCTGCCTGGTCTCTTGGTCAGATACTAGGCTGTGGGGCCAGACTGCCTAGGTTCAAATGCCTGCTCTGCCACTTCCTAGCTGTATGGCCTTGAGCAAAGGACTTGGAAGCTCCCTTGGCTCTAAAATGCTCCCTCAGTTGTTCAGTTTAAATGTGTATTGCTGGCCGGGCGTGGGTAGCTCATGTCTATAATCCCGGTACTTTGGGAGGCTGAGGCAGACAGATTGCTTGAGCTCAGTAGTTCAAGACCAGCCTGGCCAACATGGTGAAACCTTGTCTCTACAAAAAATACTATATATATATATATATATATATATACACATATCTATAACCTGGGCATGGTGGTGTGTGCCTGTAGTCCTAGCTACCTGGGGGGTTGAGGCCGGAGGATTGCTTGAGTCCAGGAGGTTGAGGCTGCAGTGAGCCATGATTGCACCACTGCACTCCAGCCTGGGTGGCAGAGTAAGACCCTCCCCCATCCCCCAAAATATGCATGGCTTAGCCTAGCGGCTGGCATTACGTTAGACGGTCAATTTTAGTGCCCTTTCCTGAGAAGGCCAGGAAGTAAACTGCCAGCTCTGCAGGCAGAAGTAAACTTCCAGCACCTCACACGTGGGACTGGGGGTTCCTGTGTCTTCCCAGGTGATCTCTTCGTGAAGGAGCTATTTTGGATGTTGCACTTGCAAAAGGAAACCTTTGCCACCTATGTTGCTCGATTCCAAAAAGAGGGTGAGAGAAAATGGGAGTCTGTGTCCCCCAGCTCCTCTTTCCACTATCCAAGAGTCCCTGTCTCCAGCCCCTTACTTCTCCAAGCCCAGTTCCTCAGCTTCTCCAACTGCCTCCTCCTTCAGACCCAAGTCTTTTCTCCCTCAAACCCAAGAGCCCAAAGCCCAGCTCTTCCCCAAACCTCCTCTTCCATCATCTTTCATTTAGAAATCTGACTCTGTCATCTCTTTCTCTCTCTTTTTTTTCTCTTTTGACACAGCTTATTGTCCCAACAAATGTGGTGAGTCCGGATTACAGAAGTTAACCCTCTAGTCCTCATCCTGCCCTCTACATATTCTGCTTCCCCACTCGCCTTTTTGAATCCTGATGGTTTTGTCATTCTCCGCCTTGGAGAGGTTCCTGGGTCTCCACTATTCTTTTTCCACCTTGGATTTCTTGGGGAGCAGGTCATATTCTACTTACACTCTTTTTTTTTTCTTTTTTAAGACAGTCTCACCCTGTCGCCCAGGCTGGAGTGCAGTGGTGCGATCACGGCTCACTGCAACCTCCGCCTCCGAGGTTCAAACTATTCTCCTGCCTCAGCCTCCCTGAGTAGCTGGGATTACAGGTGCCCGCCACCACACCCAGCTAATTTTTGTATTTTTAGTAGAGACAGGGTTTCACCATGTTGGTCAGGCTGGTCTTGAACTCCTGACCTTGTGATCTGCCCACCTCGGCCTCCCAAAGTGCTGGGATTACAGGAGTAAGCCACCACGCCCGGCCTTTACTTACACTCCTTACTGAGCCTTGTTGGAGTCCACTTCCTACCCACCTGCGTCCTGGTCCTGTCCCTTCCTCTGACCATGTAGGAATGTCGTAGATGACCTGGCCCCAGCCCTTGGCCCTGACCTCTCCTTTTAGCCATGCCCCTTAGTGGGCAAATACAAGCCTTGACTCTGCCCCTCCAGGTGTGATGTTGCAAACTCTGATTTGGTGCAAGAACTGCAAAAAGGAGGTTCACGCTTGTCGAAAGTCCTACGATTGTGGGGGTGAGAGAACTGTACTCAGCAGGAGGAACTGGTGCAGGTGGGGTGGGGCGATAGGAGAGACAGACTAGAGAGAGCTTAGATGGGGGTGTGGGGGCAGTAGACAAGAAAAGGCAGGGTTTAGGCCAGGTACAGTGGCTCACACCTATAATCCCGGCACTTTGAGAGGCTGAGACGGGAGGATCGGGAAGCCAGGAGTTTGAGACCAGCCTGGGCAGCATAGCGAGACCCCATCTCTACAAAAAAATTTTAAAATCAGCCAGGTGTGGTGGTGTGTTCCTGTAGTCCCAGATACTTGGAAGGCTGAGGCAGGAGGATTGCCTGGACCCAGGAGTTGGAGACTGCAGTGAGCTACGATCATACCACTGCACTCCAGCCCGGGCAAAAGAGTGAGACCTTGTCAAAAAAAAAAAAAAAAAAAAAAAGTCCGGGCGCGGTGGCTCAAGCCTGTAATCCCAGCACTTTGGGAGGCCGAGACGGGTGGATCACGACGTCAGGAGATCGAGACCATCCTGGCTAACACGGTGAAACCCCGTCTCTACTAAAAAATACAAAAAACTAGCCGGGCGAGGTGGCGGGCGCCTGTAGTCCCAGCTACTCGGGAGGCTGAGGCAGGAGAATGGCGTGAACCCGGGAGGCGGAGCTTGCAGTGAGCTGAGATCCGGCCACTGCACTGCAGCCTGGGTGACAGAGCGAGACTCCGTCTCAAAAAAAAAAAAATTAAAAAATAAAAAAAAAAGAGGCCGGGCGAGCTGGCTCACACCTGTAATCCCAGCACTTTGGGAGGCCGAGGAAGGTGAATCACGAGGTCAGGAGTTCAAGACCAGCTTGGCCAAGATGGTGAAACCATCGTTTTTGTACTAAAAATACAAAAAAAGTAGTCAGACATGGTGGTGGGCACCTGTAATCCCAGCTACTTGGGAGGCTGAGGCAGAGAATTGTTTGAATTTGGGAGGTGAAGGTTGCAGTGAGCCAAGATGGCGCCACTGCACTCCAGCCTGGGTGACAGAATGAGACTTCGTCTTAAAAAAAAAAAAAAAAAAGCGAGCGAGAAAGAAAAGAAGAGAAAAGACGGGGTCACAACAAATGTAAGAGGATTAGGGGAGGGTAAAGAACCGTGAAGGAGGCCGGGCGCAGTGGCTCATGCCTGTAATCCCAGCACTTTGGGAGGCTGAGGCAGACAGATCGCCTGAGGTTAGGAGTTCGAGACCAGCTTAGCCAATGTGGTGAAACCCCGTCTCTACTAAAAATACAAAAATCAGCCGGGCATGGTGGCGTGCGCCTGTAGTCCCAGATATTCAGGAGGCTTAGGCAGGAGAATCGCTTGAACCCGGGAAGCGGAGGTTGCAGTGAGCCGAGATCAGGCCACTGTACTCCAGCCTGGGCGACAGAGCAAGATTCCATCTCAAAAAAAAAAAAAAACAAAAAAAACCCAAACAAACAGAACCGTGAAAGAGTGTCCCATGGTCTTCCTCCACCCCCAGAGCGCAATGTGGAGGTTCCTCAAATGGAAGATATGATCCTGGACTGTGAGTTAAACTGGCATCAGGCTTCTGAAGGCCTCACTGATTACAGCTTTTACAGGGTGAGGGCCTCAACTTCTGTAATCCTTGAACTCCCTAGACTACAATACTTGTGTACTGGATCTGTGGGCCTGCACCCACGATTCTCATGACCCAGGCGGGTGGTCTATTAGGTGTGGTCTCTACTGGGGATCCCGTGCCCCAACCAGTGACACCCTGGACACCCACCTCCCACACTGAGGCCCTGTGATCTTCTCAACCCGGTACTCCCCCAACCCCTGAATTCCTCAGGCCTCAGTGACCCCTTGAGCTTGGGTCTAGGTTTGGGGGAACAATACGGAGACTTTGGTGTCCAAGGGGAAAGAGCCCACCCTGACCAAGTCCATGGTGGGTCCAGAGGATGCAGGCAGCTACCGCTGCGAGCTGGGCTCTGTGAATTCCAGCCCAGCCACGGTCATCAATTTTCGCGTCACAGGTCAGTGCTGTGGGGTTGAGAGAAGTGTAGGATTCAGGGCCCAGGAAAGCTGGGGGTCCGCGTCGGGGGCGTGGCCTCGGCGATGGGGGCGTGGCTTCCTGTTGGGTGTGGTTTCGGGGCAAGGGGTGTGGCTTCCCGCCGGGGGCGTGGCCTCTGACCCCGAGGACAGGCGTTCCCTTGGGTGTGTTCAGGCTTTACACTGTTGAAGGCGTGATTATCTCTGGGATGGCAGGCTACCGGGACGGGCTTGCCTTTGCCAGGGCAGGAACTCCACGCCCTGCCAGGACTGCTCTTTACACTTTCTCTAACAGTGTTGCCCAAAAGGGTCGAGGAGGAAAAACCGTCCCCAAATATCGTAACCCCGGGGGAGGCGACCACGGAGTCGTCCAATACCCTCCAGCCTCTGAAGCCCGAGAAAATGCTGAAAGGCCGCCTTCTGGGGCTGCTGATCTGGGGCTCCCTAGCACTGATAACCGGCATTACCTTTGCGTGAGCAACCCGTTGAAGAAGGCTGGCTAGGCTTGGAGTAACGGGCGGGGCTTCCAGGAACCCAACGCAGAAGCTGGGCTGGGGGCTACTGAGGACTGAGAGCAGGACTTTCCTGGGGATGGAGTGCGGGGGGCTTGCATAGGAGGACTTCGAAGGGCGAGGCTTAGATAATTGCTAGAATAAAGTCACACAGGGGGTGGTTGGGAGGGGTGTCCCCCACACAATTACTACCCAACCCGGTTCCATGATCTGCACCCCACTCCCACCCCTAGGATATTTTGTCGAAGGAAGGTGATCGATTTCATCAAGTCCTCACTGTTTGGCCTTGGCAGTGGAGTGGCCGAGCAACCCCAGGTCCCAAAAGAAAAAGCCACAGATTCGAGGCACCAATAAAGATTTATCTTGTTGTCTAAGCATCTGACTCACTCCCCTGGACGGGGCTGATCCTAGCCTTTGGTTCCCCGAGAGCAGAGGTCTGGGGATGGGCTCCGGCCTGAGGGAAGAAGGGCGGGAAACCAGGACCCTTGGGTCGTGGAGGGGGCCATCTGGCTGCGACGTAATTCCAGAATCAAGGAATGGGGCAGGGCCAATCCTCCCCAGATCTCCTCCCCCAGGCCTGGTCTCCTCACAGGACGCCCCCTCCCCGCTCTTCCTGCCGGGTTTCCTCTTGCCTTTTCCTGTCCCCCACCCAGTGCTGGGAGCCGTGGCAGAGGCAAGAGCAGTGGAACTGACCCAGGCCAGTGGAGCCAGGGCCTCCGGGTGTGCCGGACCCGAAGCAGGGTAAGAGCCAGGGACCCAGCGGCCCAAACCCTCCTCCCTGGGACCCAAGACTCAGTCCCCCAGCCATCTTCCATCCCAGGACCCAGGAATCCAGGGTACCATCCCTCTCCTCCCTCTGGGCTCCCAAGTCTGAGCCCCAGTCCCCTCCTCCCTCTGACTCGGAGTCCAGGTTCCCTCCACCCCATTCCCACAAGAGTGCCTTAGGAGTTGAGGCCTTCCTCGCCTTCCCTTAGGGCCATGCTATCTGGTGAACGGAAGGAGGGCGGAAGCCCCCGCTTCGGGAAGCTTCATCTCCCCGTGGGCCTGTGGATCAATTCCCCCAGGAAGCAGCTGGCGAAGCTGGGGCGGCGCTGGCCCAGCGCAGCCTCTGTCAAGTGAGTGCCATCTCTGCAGGACTCCTGGCCCTGCACACCTGCCTCCCATCTGTCCCTGTTCACGGCCCAGTCCTGCAAAGGGTTGGCTCCGGTCCTCATCCTGAATTGGGCAAGCGAGCTTGTGGGTAGTGCGAGACGGTGGGGCACAGCGATACCAGGGCGCTGTGGGAGTAAGAGCTAGGCCAGGCAGGAGGTGGAGTGAGGCCAGATCGGCACCGGGATGAGGACAGAAACAGCAGGGGGATTGATTCACCTTCCTTCCTCCCCTCTCTGCTCACCTCTTGGAATTTCCCTCTGTGGGACTTGCCTTTATTTATTTATTTATTTATTTATTTATTTATTTATTTTCTCTCTCTTTGCCTCGCGTCTCTGTGCCAACCCTCACCCCCGCCCCGTCCATCCACCCTGGATCCCTGTCCTCTCTCTGGGTCTCTGCTCACTTCCCTCCTAATCTGTCCTCCACCCCCGTCTTGGCGTGTTGTTCGGGTCTCTCTCCCGCGACTCTGTTCCCCGGCGGACTCCCAGGTCTTCTTCGTCGGACACGGGGAGCCGTAGCAGCGAGCCGCTACCTCCGCCCCCGCCGCACGTGGAGCTGCGGCGAGTGGGCGCTGTCAAGGCGGCCGGGGGAGCCTCCGGTAGTCGCGCCAAGCGCATCTCCCAGCTCTTCCGGGGCTCGGGGACCGGGACCTCGGGGTCCGGCGGCGCGGGAGGCCCTGGGACCCCGGGGGGTGCGCAGCGCTGGGCCAGCGAGAAGAAGCTGCCGGAGCTGGCGGCGGGCGTGGCCCCCGAGCCCCCGCTGGCCACCCGCGCCTCGGCGTCCCCGGGGGTCCTCAAGATCTTCGGCGCCGGACTGGCATCGGGCGCCAACTACAAGAGCGTGCTGGCCACGGCGCGCTCCACGGCGCGCGAGCTCGTGGCCGAGGCTCTAGAGCGCTACGGCCTGGCCGGCAGCCCCGGTGGCGGCCCGGGCGAGAGCAGCTGCGTGGACGCCTTCGCTCTGTGCGACGCACTGGGCCGGCCCGCGGCGGCGGGCGTGGGAAGCGGCGAGTGGCGGGCGGAGCACCTGCGCGTGCTGGGCGACTCAGAGCGCCCGCTGCTGGTGCAGGAGCTGTGGCGGGCGCGGCCCGGCTGGGCGCGGCGCTTCGAGCTGCGCGGTCGCGAGGAGGCACGGCGTCTGGAGCAGGAGGCCTTTGGGGCTGCAGATGGCGAAGGTGAGCTGCGGGCGGGGCTCTGGGGCGGGCACTCGGGGCCAGAGAGGCGGGGTCCGTGGGGCGGGGCCTGGGCGGGGCTTGTGGGACCCGCGGGCTGGCTGGGGGCGGGGCCCGCGGGAGGGGACTGGACGGTGCGTGTAGGACTCTAGCAGGTGGAACGCAGAGCTAGAGCAGGGCCGGGGGCGGCAAGATGGGCGGGTCTGAGAGTTGGGTGGGGCTTGTTGATTGAGCAGGAGTTTTACGGGGGCCGAGGCTGGGGCTTAGGCGGGGCGGGAGCTGGTTGCTGGTGGTGGCTTGGAGTGGCCTGAAGTGGTTCCGAATTGGGGTTAGGGCCTTCTGCAGGTATTTCAGACTGCCTTGGAGGAGGTGGGGTGTGTAGCGGGGTCTGCGGAGTAGTAGATCCTGAGGAGCGTTTGTGGAATGGGCAGGAGTCCGCAGGGACCTGAGGGATTCGCCCTGTGTGGTAGGTTAGAGGACACTAACAATTTGCTGACCTTTGAAAGTTTCTTTCTCTACCCAATCCCCACATTCTGGTAGGGTTTCTGCGAGGTCTGTTAGGTGTACATCCTGCAGCTTAGTGGCTTAAAATGTATTCTTCTTCGATGTGGTTTCTTGGGGCCAATTGGGAGAAAGTGAAATCAATAGCGCAACTGTTTTGATACTGAATATTGACAAGGGTCTTTTTGAATTAAAGAACTAGTCCTGGCCGGGCGTGGTGGCTCACACCTGTAATCCTAGCACTTTGAGAGGATGAGGCGGGCGGGATCACCTGAGGTCGGGGGTTCGAGACCAGCCCGGCCAACATGGTGAAACCCTGTCTCTTCTAAAAATACAAAACTTAGCCAAGCGTGGTGGCGCATGCCTGTAATCCCAGCTACTCGGGAGGCTGAGACATGAGAATCATTTGAACCCGGGAGGCAGAGGCTGCAGTGAGCCGAGATCGCGCCACTGTACAACAGCCTGGAGGACAGAGCGAGACTTCCTCAAAAAGACAAAAAACGAAAAAAAAAAAAAAAAAAAAAAAACTGTCCTCCAGAAAAAGAAAAAGGAGTTGGAGAGACCTAGGAGCCGGAGGAGTAAGCCCGAACAATGTTCTCGGGAGCGATGCAGAGCAGATGGGCGGGGCCTGTGGTGGGGCGGGGCTTGTGGAAAAGCGTGGCCTGGCGCACAAAGTGTTGGGTCGCGCGAGGAGTGGTGGCATGTAGTGCGCATGGGTCTCTGTGGTAGGAGGCAGCTCTGCCAAGTAGGTTGAGGTGGTTATTGAGCAGGGCCTATGTGGGTGGAGCATAGAAGGGGCGACACCTACGTGAGTGAATACAGGTTCCTAGATCAGGCCTGCTGGGGCTAAGATGGGCGGAGCCTCTGAGGGGCAGGCCTTGGATAAGACGGCCTTAGGCTGGGTTGACTGCCAAGTGGGATCAGATGGGAAAGGAAAGGGCTGGAGGAAGATGACATTGTAGAGGCGAAGGAAGGCCTTGACCTCAGAGAAGGCCAGGCCTGGAACAGAAGGTAGAGTCAATGGTGAAATAGCTGGTGCTGGACCGCGCCTGGCAGGGGTGGGGCCTGGCGCACTGAGAGCATGAGTCTGCTCAGGGAGCCTTCCAAACGCTTTTCTGTATCTGAGCCTCCCTTTGGGAGATAGAATGTTATCGCAATTAAACTGATGGGCTTGGAACTGGGGTTTGGATTCCAACCCATTCTGTGACAGTTAATGTCAGTAAAATCCTAGGTGAGGATTCAATGGGATAAAGGGGCACAGGGCTTGGTACAGAGTAGGTGCTTAATAAAGAATGATGATAATAATCATTGTCTCCACCTCCCCACGGACAAAATATCCATTGAGCACCTGGTGTAGGCCACACATTTTCCTTTTTTTTTTTTTTTTTGAGATGGAGTCTTGCTGTGTTGCCCAGGCTGGAGTGCAGTGGCACGATCATGGCTCACTGCGACCTCCACCTCCAGGTTCAAGCAATTCTCCTGCCTCAGCCTCCCGAACAGCTGGGATGACAGGCGCCCACTACCACGCCTGGCTAATTTTTTGTATTTTGAGATGGGGTTTTGCCATGTTGGCCAGGCTGGTCTTGAACTCCTGACCTCAAGTGATCCACCCACCTCAGCCTCCCAAAGTGCTGGGATTACAAGCATGAGTCACCGTGCCCGGCCTGGCCACACAGTTTTCAGGGCACTGGGGAATACAGTGGAGACGTTAACAGATGAGGTTTCCACCCTCCCATATCTCACAAGCCTAGTGGAAAACACATTAGTCCATTTCATTCAGCTCATTTCCACTCGGTGCCTACTGTGTGCCAGGGTTCTTGCTGGGTCCAGAAAAAGCCCAGAGTACCCGGTGGTGCAGTCACCTGCTTCAACTTGGACTGTCAGGGACGGGTGTTTAGGAAGAGGTGGTTTCAGTCTCCTGGAGGGCAGGGTCTTTTCTGTTACCCAGAGACTTGACAGTCTTAAGCATGTAGTAGGTACTCAGTAAATACTTGTTAAAAGAACAAATGGGCTGGGTGCTGTGGCTCATGCCTGTAATCCCAGCACTTTGGGAGGCCGAGACGGGCAGATCACAAGGTCAGGAGTTCAAGACCAGCCAGTTTGAGACCAGCCTGGCCAACATGGTGAAACCCTATCTATACTAAAAATACAAAAATTAACCGGGTGTTGTGATGCGTGCCTGTAATCCCAGCTACTCGGGAGGCTGAGGCAGGAGAATTGCTTGAACCTGGGAGGCAGAGGTTGCAGTCAGCCGAGATCGGCATGCACTCCACGGTAACAGAGCAACTGAAAAAAAAAAAAAAAAAAAAAAGGCGCGGGCTCACGCTGTAATCCAGCCTGGGAGGCGGCGGATAAAGCAGGAGCGAGACCACGGTGAACCCCGTCCTACAAAAAAAAAAAAAGCCGGGGGTGGGGGGTAGCCAGATCGGGAGCTGGAGGAGATGGGGAACGGGAGGGGAGTTGCAGTAGGAGATCGCCACTGCACTCCAGCCTGGGACAGAGCGAGACTCCGCTCAAAAAAAAAAAAAAAAAAAAAAAAAAAAAAAAGAATAA